TAAGTGTAGAAATGGTATGTCTTACACAAAACTGGACAACACTTCTCCATACTCAGTCAAAACTTATTAAACATCAGATATTCATCAGACAATCTGACAACTTTGGAAGTGTCAAAGAACAAGTCATGGACAGCCTAGAACACTCTTCCACAGGGTCTTGCCAGTGGGTAAAGAACGCAAGCATCAGCATAATTCCTATGTCCATAGGTTCTTTGAAGCTTCCTTTAATCACATGGATGGTGCACCAAAAGCTTCCAACTGGGCCTGCTTGCATACTCAGCAGTTGTTTTAGAATATCCTACACTCAAGCTGAAAGGGTCCACAGAGACCTTCTAACATTGCTGATGAAATACCAGAATCTAGGAAGGTGAAGTAGCTTACCCAAAGTCACACAACCAGCAGGTAAAAATAAGCCCTGAGAGCATTATGTTCAAAGCTGTATGGCAAGGTCCAGCTTTGGCTGGCACATTTGGGAAGGGGGCCTGCCAGGCATATCAACAACCCAGCTTCTGCAGGACTGCTTCAAACAAGTACATGGAAGCAAGATGTGATGGCAACATTGCTGGATGAGGAAGTTTGGTGATGCCCTAAGAAGTCTTGAGTAGGACAGCTATCCTTTCCAGGCCATCTGACCTCATGACTTTCATGGTCTTAAAAGTCCCTTTCAGCTCTTAAGCTCTACTGTAGAAACACAGACTTTGGAACACTAGGTATCCTAACACTACTTTGGAAATCTAGGTAGCCTACTAGCAAAAAGCAGACTACACAGAGTAAGTGGCCATTACAATCATTCCATTACAACCAGGCCTTGCATCAGTCTTTTAAACAGAGGTAGTCAGGTTCACATGATGATGAAATCTAGAGGCTTCTAACACTCCTAGCTCTAGGTTTAGCCACAAACATATCCATGACCTCAGCCTAACTAGCCCTAAGTCCTACCAGCTTCTGACTATCCACCTTGCCTGGACCACAGGACCTATCACCTGATGCTACTCTCCCGCTAAGACTTGTCCCCCTCCTTGTCTACAACTCATATTGCCCAGCTTCCAGTAGCCCTGAGGAAATGACCCTTTTAGATCCTACCTGGAGCAAAGGATCCCACCTCAGCTTTAATCTCTCATATGTAACTGGGATTTGCTCAAATTACCCACAATTCACATACTAACATTCACACACACACACACACACACACACACACACACAGAGTCACCTGCCCTTCCAACCACCAGTGTAATAGTGGAGGAGAGCTTTCACTGAACTCTACTATGAAAGTTTCCATTGATTCAATACCCACCTGCCCAAACTTAAGAGCTCTTCTAATCCAATAATATTGATCAATATTAGACCTACAAATGCTCATTCATGTCCTATAAACTGAGATGAACCAGACTGTCAAAGTAGCTGAGAAAAAAATAAAAACCTGAAAGCAGCTTACGGAAGGTCAGAATTCCTCCTTAGGCCTTGCAATTTCATAACAAATGCCTCACAATGAATAGCTTGATGAGGACAGGGCTCTCCACACAGCGAGAATTTTTCTTTCATTTGGCAAGCAATGAAATCATTAAGGCCATATATCACCATTCCCACTAACAGAATCTCCTTGTGTCATCTCCTTCAGTGTGCATGCAAGCAGAAGACACATATCTATTGTCTCTTACTTCTGGAAGTTGTAAATGTAGGGAAATTGTCATCATTAAACTGAATATAATGGTGCCCTCACCCCCTCCCCCTTTCATTTTCTCACTCCGCACCTCGGCTCTGCCTGACACATAAATGTCAACACAAAAGTATGTCCCGAAGACCAATGGGCACAAAATTCTGATTACCAGCAAAAATCCATCATGTGATACTGAACATCCACCCCTGCAGCGAAAGGAAACGACAATTGCCTTTGCTGTGCAAGGTGGAGAAGCCGACCTCAAAGTGTCTCTGGTGGTATAAACAGGTTATGAAGATGGGTACAGACAAAAGCCACCACCCAACAGGCCACCAGACACCCTCCCCTCCCAAGTGTGCTGTTGGGAACCACAGACAGCTCTAATCAAAGTCCACTCTCCCTGCTCCACTTCTTAACCCTGAACCAGGAACCTCTTGCCAGGCCAAGTTGAACCCCAGAAAATCCCCAGCCAGGGCTAGAGGAGGGTTCACCCCGGAAACCACTCCTACAGGGAAACAGAAAGGAATGGCAAGTGAGCTCTGCCCAGGGCAGCCGGACTGGTTCACTGCAAAGGAGAAGGTGTAGCTTTGATGTCACCAGCAGGCAGCTTGAGAGGTCAAAGACAGAGCTCTGAGCTACCAGCATGCTGAGCCAGCAGGGGAAGGAGGAGGCTTCCTGACCTGAGGAGTTCTGCAGGAGGCCTTGCCATCCATGGGTTGTCAGGGGCTGTCATTAGGCCACAAGGACTGTTTGGCCTTGAGCATCAGTTATGTTATGTAAATTACGCTTAATGAAAGTGCAGCCTTGGTCCATAAAAACTTAACAATGCATTTGTCTTCATTTGAGCGGTCCCCAGCAGCCACCACCTCCCTTTACAGACCACGTTAACGGGGCTTTTGCCACACGTCCCTGTCTTCCATGGCCACCGTCTGGAGGCCCTCAGGAGAAGGAGAGGGGTTGGCGTACACTTAAGAAGACAAATGTGCCATCGTGGAGTTGGCATCAGGTGGCCCAAGCACACATGCAGGACAGCGAAGCAGATGTGGCCGAACCCATCCCACCTCCCCAGGCACTCTTTGTGAACATCACTCAGATGGCTGCGAAAGATAAAATTCAGTCTTGCGTTCCTGAGAGCTGGATGTCACCTCTGATTCATCAGCAGGTATTTACTAAGTGCCTCCCACATACATAATACATAGCAAAGACATACATCTCTCTCTCCTGACAAGCAGGTAACAGGGTCTGACTCTAAGACACCCCATCTTGAGATGCCCAGAGCAAACCTTTAGGTGTTCTCTAGCTGCTGCTTTCGGTTCTATGCCAATCATCTTTCAAGAAGATATCTCCAAGAAAAGAAAGTCAGTCTGAAATCCCCAGCTTCAAAATTTAATATAGGTCCCCAGAGTAGAAAAGGAAAGGAACTGGAATTGTTACTGTGAGAAGAGGAAGTTTGGCTTGGCATGGCTCTAATTATTATAATTATTAAATATTTTTAAAAGTCGAGTTCCTCCCCATAGACCGTAAAACTCTCCATGGACTGATCCTCCCCACCTGCTCCACGCCCAGCTCTGTCTCTCTCTCCCACCGTCTCTCCAACAGCCACACTGGCCTCCTCTCAGCTCCTCACCATCACTCAGCTCCCTCCAGACAAGATTCTTATACTTGCTGCTCCCTCTGCCAACAGGGCTCTCCCCTTTTCTCTTTCCTGACTCACTTCACCTCCTTCAGCATCCAAGTGAGACATCACTTCACCAGGAAGTCTTCCCAAAGCTCCCTAAGTCAAAATCAGATCTCATCCTAGCCCCATGTCCTTCTTCCCAGTCTCAACTCCAGTTGTGATCTGATATTCTTTGTGTCAGTGTTTGTGTTTGTGTGATTATTTAGCTGGTTCCAAATCGGGAAAGGAGTACATACATCAAGGCTGTATACTGTCACCCTGCTTATTTAACTTATATGCAGAGTACATCATGCGAAATGCCAGCCTAGACAAAGAGCAAGCTGGAATCAAGATTGTCAAGAGAAATATCAATAACCTCAGATACGCAGATGATACCACCCTTATGGCAGAAAGTGAAAAGGAACTGAAGAGTCTCTTGATAAAAGTGAAAAAGGAGAGTATAAAAGCAAGCTTAAAACTCGACATTCAAAAAACTAAGATCATGGCATCCAGTCCCACCGCTTCATGGCAAATAGATGGGGAAACAATAAGAAACAGTGACAGCTTTATTTTCTTAGGCTCCAAAATCACTGCAGATGGTGACTGCAGCAATGAAATTAAAAGATACTTGCCCCTTGGAAGAAAAGCTATGACCAACCTAGACAGCATATTAAAAAGCAGAGACATTACTTTGCCAACAAAGCTCCATCTAGTCAAAGCTATGGCTTTTCCAGTAGTCATGTATGGATGTGAGAGTTGGACTATAAAGAAAGCTGAGCACTGAAGAATTGATGCTTTTGAACTGTGGTGTTGGAGAAGACTCTTGAGAGTCCCTTGGACAGCAAAGAGATCCAAGCAGTCCATCCTAAAGGAAATCAGTCCTGAATACTCATTGGAAAGACTGATGCTGAAGATGCAGAACTCTGAGCACCTGATGCAAAGAACTGACTCATTTGAAAAGATCCTGATGCTGGGAAACATTGAAGGCAGGAGGAGAAGGGGATAATAGAGGGTGAGATGGTTGGATGGCATGACCGACTTGATGGACATGAGTTTGAGCAAGCTTTGGAGTTGGTGATGGACAGGCAAGCCTGGCATGCTGCAGTCCATGGGATTGCAAAGAGTAGGACACAACTGAGAGACTGAGCTGAAATGAACTGATTATTTAGCAACCCTCACCTCCACAAGACTAATAGCTCCATGAGAGAGGCAGTCATATTTACCTTTCCTGACCACCAAACCCTTAGCACCAAGCACTAGTAGGCAGCTCAATAAATGAGTGAATAAATGCATATATGCATACATACATACATATGTAACAGTTCTCCATGACTATGGAAAAAAAATACCAAGAAAAGAACTAAACTCACATTCATTAGACAGGAAGAAGAAACGAATGACCATAACAGTGCTACAATCCTAGGAAAAAAAGCTACCAAGTGGAGCCAGGTACTGGACCAGGTAAAAACATCTTTAAGAAAGGACCATGCAGAGATGTGTCAGGTGATCTTTCATGAGCCCTGCCATTCTTGTGTTTTCTGTCCTGTTCTGCCACGGTGGCCACATCCCATTTCCTGTCAGCATGCATTACTGCTTCAAGTGTAGGTTCAACCAACAGCTTTCATACCTACTCTTTGTTGTGCCTCTTGGCTCCCAAAAGGAACATGAATTCTTTTTGTTTTCCAGGTAGCAGAAAGAAACAGAGAAAGAAACTACAACGAAGCACCAGCCTGGCAAATACTGGTTTCCTGGAAGTTGAGGACCAGAGTGAGTTGGTTGTTCTGCACCAAAGCCTATCCGAAGAAAAGGTAAAATTCCCAATGAAAGGAAATACTTCCAAGGCTCCTCTCTCTCACCTACATATCAAAGGAGTTTCACTGAAGCATTGACCAGAACTTCCTGGAAAGGGAGTTTATCCCAGTTTGTTCACCTCACAAAGGAACTGTGTGAATCTTATTTGACCCCTGTTTTTCCAATCTAGGATATGAATTTAGCTAGCTTCGAAAATGTTTTAGGGCTTACACAGAAATTTGTAAAATGTCAGAGTGAAAATTTTAATTGAGTTATTAGCAATATCTCTTCTTTGAATGACCTTTTAGTACTCCTTATAACATATCACCTCCTTTTACTACCTTCTGGCTGACAGTTCCTAATATATTCTTTCTTCCTAGATGATATCATCTGTCCTTGGGTGGAATTAACTAAAGCACTCTACATTCAGAAGCTGACATTAATCCATAGCCCCAGATTTGTAACAGCTGCTGGTGTAAACACTGTTTCCATACATTGAGTTTTAACAATGACTGGAAGAAATGCATACTATTCATTGGACACCAATGACAAGCAAACAAAAGAATCAGACTGCCAAACAGCAATGATTAAAAAAAAAAAAAACTAACTGATTTAAATATATCTACTGCTCAAATCTAGCTTCATGGAATTTTTATATTTCTCTTAAGAATCACGTGTGTAAAAAAAAAAAAGCTAATCAAAATAGGAAATTATAAGGAGGAATGGCAAATAAGTTGTTTGTTCAAGTAACTTTCTGATACTCAACGAAGGAAATAACAGAAAATACAATCCCATATTCTCAGTAACCCAGACATGTTGCATCATTCCAAGAAATGGAAAAAGTAAATCATCATGGCATGTGGATACAGAAAGGTATATTCAGAGTCGAGGATCACCAAACAGGGAAAAGATAAATAAAAGCCTTCCCCCACAAAACTCCCAACCACAGTGCTTTCTCATAACAACCTCAAGGCACCCAAACATCATGTCCTAATGTGAAAATGACCAACACAGGGGCAGGAGGCTCCAAATTTCCTGTGTCTCCCCCAAATCTCCTCCCCCAGACTTCATGTCCAGTTGCAAACAAGCTTGTATACATCAGTGTAGCAACAAGCAGTGACATCCATAGGGACCCCAGCAGCATTTTCCATCAGCACAACTGTGTTATTTAGAATCTGAGGCAGTAATGACCACCATGAATGCCAGACTGCTGATATAAGTCCCAGAGCCTGAGGGAGCTGATAATTAAAGTGTGGCTACTCTCATTGTATGGTAGGAACCCAGTGGCAGGAAGAGGGAATTTCCAAGGGTAAAGGAAACTGCAAGTGGGGCTAGTAGAAGCAAAGTGGGGGTCCCCTTCCTGGTGCCTCAGCCCTGTGGTCCCTAAGCTCTGAACTCTCTGATTCCATGAGGAAATGCCAATCCCCTCCTCAGACCATCTGCCACCCCATGCCCCACGTCATGAGACAGCTGCTGCCACTGCATTAGGATACTGTCAGGGATTGGTGATCAGGTCACACCCCCGAGGGCAAGGGAAACAGGGTTCACTTGCACAGTGAGGTTATCCCTGTTAGTAGTCACCTGAAGAACAGGTGTACCTCCAAATGAGAAGCAATAGCTAAGAGGACTGACTTAGGTGAGTGGGAGAGAAGTATCACTGCCCTTGGCCTGGGTCTGGAAGTCCCAGTGTTTACAAGCGTTCTCTTCCTGCTATGAACTAAAGAAAGCATCCACCACATGGGAACAAAATCCAAGAGGGGGACCCTGATGGACTGAAATGAACCTGACCATGCCCAGAGCCCTGGGAGGCAGCTGGCCAGGTCAGAATCAGAACCCTGGGCTCTTTAAGCCAGACCAGCTCAACTCCTGGTACCTTCTTGATACCCCTCTGTTATCCCTGAAACCTGTCCCAGTCTGTTCCATTTGTGTTAAGACAGAGTGAGAAGAAAACTTATGTTGGGGACCAATGTGGATGCATCAAACACAGGAAAACTGGGGCCAGAGAATCATCATCCCCTCCCCTTCAAGAGGATCCCATTAACAGCAGAAGTTTCTAAGTTTTGCTTTTTACTGCATAAGGAAGCATTTCCTTATACTATCTCTGAGTATTCAAAGCTTATCTATCATATTATCCTCTAAGCTACTTTGCCTGTTGGATTAATCCAAACCCAGGTAATAGGCATAATTGTATATGCTGTCTAAGTAATATATTTAATGGACTCGTTTATCTACTTAATTTAGTGGTCATTTAGCATGAGACCAGCACTGCATTAAATGTAGGACATTTAAGTACAAATAGCAAACAGTCCACTCTTCCCAGGAATGTCCACACTAACCAGGAAACAGCCTAGAGATAGAACTTTACCTTAAGAGGATAATTCCATTGACGGGAATTTGAGGGGTTATGTCGTCCCTGGTGGGGGAAGCATTTTCATTTGGGGGGATGCTCTGGAGGATCTGAAATCACAGCAAGAAAGCAGATGCCTCTTCTGCTCAGGCATGATGTCAACCCTCTATGTAAGACTCCATGTTTCAGGAAATGCAGGAGATGCATTCAAGAGATGCAGGAAAGCTGTTAACAAGAAAAGCAATTTCCCTCAGGGAGGAAGGGGGATGCTGAACCCAGCAGGTAAAGAGTTCCACTAGTCCTGGCCCTGCATAATGGAAGGCTGAGATTTTGGTCAGGAATCTGACCCTCCAGATAACCACCACTCTTTCACCCCAGAAATACATGATCTGTAAAGTGAATCCTGGCAGCTACAACACACATTGAATTGTCTAATGAGACTGGGGCTGGTGGATGGTCAAGTAACTGATAACGGCTTACAAGAGCTTTAGGTAGATGGAGACCTGATACTGAATAAATACTCGAGGTTATAGCCATGTCCACCTGCATATGCACTCACAAATATGGCACACGGATAGCCTTGTGTCCTTCAGCTCCCTAGCTGAATTAACAGAAAAGATGAAAGTAAAAATGTGAGTTGAGCAGCTTTGCTTTTTTCCATTCATCCCGGTGAGTGAAGTGGGAGAACTTATCTTCTATCATTTATCCTTTGTCACTACTACATATTGTTATATATTTTACAACTCTCAACTTGCCGGGTGGTTTTGGTCATCTGACAGTACCATTAAAAAGTTCTGCCAATATTTTACAGTGTAGTATGACAGAAGGAGCATTACATTATGGAGACAAAAGCACTTGGGTTTCTTTAAAGTTTAACTATATTTCTTATTAGCAGTGTGACCTTACACAAGTCCCTAAAACACTTTGGCCTCAGTTTCCTCATCTGTAAGGCAGGCTCACTACTACTTCATGTTGGACCAAAATCAGTGCTGTTATGAGGTCATCCGAATAATAGAGAAGAATGGGTTTTGTGAATGTAACTCATCCTCTCAATGACCTTCTGCCTCATTTTAAAACCCTATCCCGTGTAATTTTCAGGTGTCTTGATAACTTGCCTTTTTTCTTTTTTTCTGAGAATTTCTGAGAATGGAATTGTTCAGTTCACTTTAGTCGCTCAGTCGTGTCCGACTCTTTGCAACCCCATGGACTGCAGCACACCAGGCCTCCCTGTCCATCACCAACTCCCAGAGTTTACTCAAATTCATGTCCATTGAGTTGGTGATGCCATCCAACCATCTCATTCTCTGCTGTCCTCTTCTTCTCCCACCTTCAATCCTTCCCAGTACCAGGATCTTTTCCAGTGAGTCAGTTCTTTACATCAGGTGGCCAAAGTATTGGAGTTTCAGCTTCAGCCTCAGTCCTTCCAATGAATATTCAGGACTGATTTCCTTTAGGATGGACTGGTTGAATCTCCTTGCAATCCAAGGGACTCTCAAGAGTCTTCTCCAACACCACAGTTCAAAAGCATCAATTCTTCAATGCTCAGCTTTCTTTATAGTCCAACTCTCACATCCATACATGACTACTGGAAAAACCATAGCTCTGACTAGACAGACCTTTGTTGGCAAAGTAATTAACAGATGGAACTGCAGCATTCCCTTTCAACTTTTCCACCTTTCAGAACCCAGGCTCACGAGATCACACCAATGCTTCTGAGATGTTTCTAGTGAACATGTGATTGTCTCCTCTAATGCCTTTTGGCTATACTTGACCTTGAACCCCTTCTTCCTCCCTTTACCTCACTGATTCTTTCTTATTAATCAGGTTAATTCATTCACACATTCCCTCCTCTGAAGCACCTCATCATCTCTAGAGGCTAATTGGGGGTCAGAGGGAGATGTTGAGTGTGGGGATGCAGGAGAGTTCTCGGGAGAAGATGCAAATAGGTCTCTATAACACTTCTATAAATTTCACCAACTGACAAAGGGACAAGAAAGTGGTGTTTTGTTCTGACCATGAACATACCACTTGGTCTTTCAACCCCTTCCTGGGGTTTGCCTCTCCTGTGCTCCCAAACTCAGATATGATGCTACATGAAGACAGAAAAATCATGCTAGTTACAATTCTGCCACTTCTCCTTGCTGTTTCTCCCTGCTGATGACATGAGCTGGAAGAGTGCCAGAGATCAGAGAGAAAACTCACCAAAATGATCATAAAGCCACTTAGAAATATATGAGCATGATCAACACACTAAATAATAATTACTCACATTTGTATTCCCTGCCAATCTTCATACACAGGGTATAAATGTGACCTGCTCCAAATGAATCACCTGGTTTTAAATGCCTGAGAGTCATCGTCCTGTGACTCTGACAAAGTAACCTACATAGCTCATACCTTGGGTTTATAACAGAGACACTGCTGTGAATTGAAACCCCAAAGAACAAAGCCAGTTGAATTTTTTAAACATTTACTGCAAAATTTTCATTATACGTTATATTCTTCTCAAATATTTCATCAAGCCTTTTCTCTACTCTCTGGGTTAAATCTCAATCACTAAAAGGAATGATTCGAAGGCAATAATGTAGAAACAAAAGGGGAGATTAAATACAAATTAAGCTTTCATTTGTACTGTTTTTCCAGACTGAATTAAAGTGATTGAGCTAACTTTGGTGGAAAGTAAATTTTACAGCTGTTGGAAATGATAGAATGTAAATTGGATTATACTATTTAAATATTTTACAAATAATTGAAATGGCATTCTTGTAAGTTATGTCCCAATATTCATGTTCAAACATAGTAGATCACACTGACTGGCTCTGGATATATATCTTTCCCAATGCTTTAAATTTCTTCCATTACCAGAAATTCATACAAAGACAGGTCGAGGGGCACAGGTTAATATGATGGGAATGAAAAGGCATGATGGTATGATTCAACCTATTCAAATTAACTCATTACAACAGATATATATCTATTGCAGGGCACTGAGCAAGCTACTGGACACAATAAGGAATTGGCCTTGCCCTGAAGGTGCTTACCATCTCCTAGAAAGAAGGGAAAGTGAAAAGTGAATGTGCTAGCTGCTCAGTTGTGTCTGAATCTTTGCAACCCCATGGACTGTAGCCCGCCAGTCTCCTCTGTTTATGGGATTCTCCAGGCAAGAATACTAGAGTGGGTTCCATTCCCTTCTCCAGGGGATTTTCCTGACCCAGGGATTAAAACCCAGTCTCCCACATTGCAGGCTGATCCTTTACCATCTGAGACACCAGAGAAGCATCTAGCCAAATAAAACTGTGTTATTTTA